CAGGAATTTGTTGCGTCCTCAGGGTTGTTTAAAGATAGCAAATCAAGTCAATGTTTCACCTCCAGAAGAATCAGTGAAAAACAGTTTGTGTATTTATAGATGTTTTTATTTGTATGCTTCTGTGAGAAGTTGATCTTTCTTTTGCGGTTTCTTCTATTCATTCAAAATGTTGAAAATGCACGAAATATCATTTAAAATAATAAGACACTCTTAGATTCAAAACTGTCAGACTCTGTTCCTGGTTTTGTGTGTGTTTTGCTCCCCATGTGCCTTCCTTGCCCTTATTTGGTCTTCCTGTTCCTGCCCTGATTGTGTTTATTTGATCCCAGCTGTGTCCCATTGATTTCCTTGATTAGTCCCATAATATAAACCCTGTGTTTCTGAGTTTCCCTTGTCTGGAATTGAACGTCAATCCCCGTGTCCTACGTGTGGTTTTCCCTATGGTAAATAAAGTCTGTGATAATTCTGGAATCTCCTTCGTCTCCTCACTCCAGAGTAGGCACAAAGTGACAAAAACGGACCACTTTTGGTTCAAGTGGTCTTCTGCTGTTTGCAGTCACTTCGAATCACATGTCTTCTGTCACAGTGAAAAATGTCCATAATAACACCAGCTGATCTGATTCGATGATTTTTAGTGAGCACATCATTTAAGTGATGAAAATTTGACCCAAATCATCATTGCAGGCCTCCCAAAGTGAGTCACAGTGCAATATATTGTCTAGCAATATATCGGTCATAAGTAAGAGCCCTCTCTGGGCCCTTGATATCATCTGGTTATAAATCTCAGAAAAGAATAACCGTCTACAGTAGAGCTACACAGAGACAAACGCATCTCAGGCTGTGAGGCGATGCATGTAATATTCGTACAGGAAGAAGAAATAACATTAAACCTCTGGAGGAGCCGCGGCGATACAGTGACTGAACTTTTGATTTGCTCAAACAAAGCGCAATAAAGACCTGCTGATTCTGGATTAGCCGTCGGAGCCTCTGGGAGTTTTCAGTGTAGCAATACAGAAAACGGCACCTCCAGTAAGATATGAAATCAAGTCACAACCAATTGGAGCGTATAGACTGAAATGTCCACACCTGTGAAAGTGATGTCTTGTTTATGACTGCCATTGACAGGAACGATAAGTGAATTCAGAAAAATAATAATAAATAAAGAATAATATTTGTGACATTCTGTTAGCTGCCATTATATCGAGAAAATTCATGAATTTCATATATTTTCACAATAAAAATGGGTAACAGCACAAACCATAAATCTAGTTTTGACTTCTATAACTTTTCCTATTGTAACCTGAATATGAAGGTTCAATTTTCTCAAATATTTGCCACAGTGGAGGAGACATGTTTATAATAAAAGGCTGATATGAGATTTTGCAGGGAACGTGCAATATGTCTGCCGGACGCTTTTGTTCTTGAAACAATGTATATAGTTTTTTTGTGTTTTACATTGTATTTATTTCCAATAGATATAAAAAACTGTATTATTAATTCACTATACTAAAAATTCAGCTGGACTGGTTTACTTTAACCGGTCTTTAATTTCAGTTTTCTTTTTTTAAGGCTGTGGTTTCCTGTTTATAATCAGTAAAGCACATGAGATGGGTTTGTCAGCTTGGCTGTACAGTGATTGCAGCTCATAAATGCTGCTGGGTCATTCCTGTGACATTATCATCACCTAAACCATAAAAAGACATAAAGGTCAAACACATTCCTCTTTTATGATGTGCTCATCCCTGAATATCAAACTGAACAGATTCTTTTTATTGTCCCAGTAGGACTGGAGGTCATTTTTGAAGAAAAGGACAGTGAAGGACACATCTGGCAGATCCAGACTTCTGAAGACAGGTAAGCGGAAAACAGCACAATACACTTATGACATATCCATAAAATGCAAAATGTAGTTAAAATTGCCAAACTTATAAACAATAATCAGTATCAAAAGGATGGTAAAACTACAGTAATAACATAAAAACAATGTAGAAGAAAGGCAGGTTAATCTCTAGCAGATGAATTTCAGAACTTATTTCTTGCCATCTGTTGACTTTGACAGTCGTACAAGAGAAACTAAAGCATTTTTAATCAGTCGTTCTGGATAAAAGTATCTGCTAAATGCCTTAAATGTAAAAAAAATATCTAAAATATGAGTGCTTTCATGAGCTCTAACTCTGGCAGTGGATTAGACTAACCTGTCCACATGATGATATGTCTAGTAGGAGGGATTGTGTTCAGTACAGAGACTTCCTGTGTGTTCTGACATGATCAGAAACCTCTTACTGGACTCCACGGGGTAATAATTGCAAAGCCACTGTCAGAGCAATTGAGTAGTTTCAGGCCAAAAGAGTGGAAAATGTTTGACTGAGCAGGTCAAACACTGGCTGAATCCGACTGAGTGTATTTCACATGTTGAAAGCAGGAATATTAGGCCAACAAGCTTTTAAATTGAGCAGCCTGCTGTTATTAGAGTCATGTTAGAGGCCTCAGAAGTCATTTAATTCACATTATATGAAGTCAAGGTCAATATGTAACACATTTTATGTGTAATAAATCCTTTGTGTGTGTGTATTTAAGGTCTGTCTGTCAATTTTAGGCTCAGTTTTGAAGAAGCCAGGTAGCAAATTTCCAATGCAACTAAGGCATAGGTAAGGCTGGGAAAGATTTAGCTTTAACCTGGCCACAGGCCAGAAATTAACGAGGGTTTGGTGCAAAAATGCCACCAAATTGGACAAAAATGCACAACACGATTAAACTAAATCTACTAAACTAAATCTAATCTATTAGGCCTGTCGAGAATAAATTGAAAATGGATTGAAAAGTGTCAATTGTAGCATTAAATATAGAGCTGCTCATCTTGCATCATGTTTCTTTTTACGTGCTTTTACAGTGTTGCACATTATAACCTATCACACATGATTCTGTTTAGCTTATGAATGCAGTGGCCAATCAGAGGTGTTCAGATTAGTTGCTAACCATTAGGTTACATACTTTTAGCCTTACCATGGAGTTGGTCCCCCTCCCCCTTATTTGTCTGAGGTTGCCAGTGTGCTCTATATATATATGGTATTTCGTGTGTTTGTAGGCATGCTGCCCACTGTTTGGCTCAAACACACAAAAAAAATAATTTCCTAAAAGCTGGGCGAACACAATATCTTGGGCAGAGTAAGAACACACACCCACAATCCTGTTTATTCTCCATTATGGTCATTAGTCCCTGCCGGTGGCATGGAGTGTTTGACAGTGTGATACTGCATACATGAATGTGAACATTGCTGTGGGAAGCAGGGAAAACAAATTAGATGAATAAATGCGTGTTGCCATGGACACTTGGAAAAAAGCTCCTACTGTATGAATCTTGGCAGGGTTGAACATAAAGAACAATAACCAGTCATATTTTGCAATACATTTGGCTGAGTTTAGCAATAGAATTCCAGAAATTATAACATATCTGTTGTGAATGTGCATTACATTCATTTTTTGTATACCAGGTCACACCTGTATTTAGGTGTGGGTGTCATTCTGTAAATTCTGTTAATTTGCTCACCTGTTCTTGTTGCTGGAAATCCAGTCTGAAATGAGAGAAACAGCCTGCCGGTGACAGTGTTTGTTTCCAAAACTGCAGGCCAGCATTATTACCTCTCTCTGTAGCTCTCTAAGGAAAAAATGGGAAGGATACCAGCAGGAAAGTACATCAGCAGGAAGTTAAAGATGGAGGAAGGGGAAAATTAAAAATTAAATACTACTGAGGTCATTCCCATCTCTGAGGAGGAAAATATCTCACTCACACTTTGCAATTCGGTGTCCTTACTTAGACCACATATATGTTTATAACTGTAATATATAATTCAAGAAATATGAAATTCAAGACTCACTCGGTCTGATAAGCCGCCTGCACGAAGGAGCCCTCAGGGGAAGTGGCTGGCCAGCCCAACTTGTGATACTTCGGTTCCACCTGTTTTAGAACATAGTCCTAGCAAAACAAAACAAAACAAAACAAACAGAAAGGGAAAGGGAAGCAAAGAAATTATTGAAGCAAAACATAACAAGAAACGCAAAGTCAAGCGAAACCAAACAAAAGTGCAAAACAAATGGCAGAAAAGAGTCAGTACGGTTGCCATGTTGAGACCAGGATTTAAATTATTAGTTTTTTTTTTATTGTTTTGTTTTGTATTGTATTGTATACAGTACAAGTGTGTGCGTGTGTGTGTGTGTGTGTGTGTGTGTTTTGACTCCTCCCTATACGGTTGAGGGAAATGTCGCAGCAGGTAATGTCATGGCTAATTTAGCATGACTGCTCTCCTTCATGCCCTCTTGCTGAGACGAGTGAATGATCACAATTAGACCCTGCTATGCCGCAATTCAATTCTTAACACACACTTACACGGATAAAAGCACATAAAGGCTTGTAGAGGACATTGTTTTCCATACTGAGGCGGATCAGGTGCCTACAGCTTGTCAAGCTGTTACTACAGCAATTGAGTGACGTATTCTTATTTTGCCAACAAATTAATCTCAGTTTGACGATTAGTGATGTTGTTTTTGTGTGTGAACGGGCCAAAATACACTGGCCAGCACACGCACACACACAGAGGGGTTTGGTCTGGTAGGTTGAAACACCTGGTCACATGACTGAAGTGTCCTGACTAATCTGTTCCAGCTGTTGCCTGTCTTGCATTACATCCTAAACATCTGCTTTGTCTCACAGTAAACACAATGATGGAGAGAAATAGAGAGAAGAAGCTATTAAATTCATCACACTCTCACTGCTGACACTAAAGCGTCGTCTATTACAGAGGAAGGGCAGAAATGACTCATGCGCACCGAGGGATTGTGGGTAGGCGTTTGAGTGATATTTTGAATAACGAAGTGATAAATTAATATGAAAGCAGGTGGACAGGTAAGACAGGGAAACAGACACTGTCACGTTAGGCTGCGTTCAGAATGGAATACTAGCACACTGCATACTGTGCAGTACACACTGCATACTGCATACTATCTTATACAACATGGAAATGTTCATAGTGCTTTTTTTGGTGTTATACTTTTATATACTCCTTATACTTTTAAATATAATTTTAGTGTGCCATCTAGTTATCACACACATGCAGAAAAACTGCATTCTTCACATAACATACATAGTGTATACTGCAGAAATAGTATGAGAAATATGGTAGTATGATATTTTGAACATTAGCAATGGTGGAGATTTGACACTGTTTTAGTACGCATGAGTTTATAAAATGCTGCAGCAAACAGGCATTGTGTCTGGAAACATTTTGGACTGCTGTTTTGGATGATGATCAGAGGAATTTTTGAGTTCGATCTGTCTGGCGGTGAGTCGAGTCATCTGAGACGTGCTGCTAGATATCAGCCGTGTCTTTCTTATTGCTCTAGTCAAGGTTAAAATACAACAAACAGCAAACTGATGTGAGATCAGACTCACGCTGAACAGGCTGTGGTCTTCAGTGCGGTCCAGGAGTTTGTCCAGCTGGTAAAGAGCTCGACTAGCAGCGTGCCATGGCAGAAACTCAGTCTCCTGAGACAAATATGAGATCATCTGCAGGGGGACGTTTTGGGGCAAATACCCCGCTCTAGAGAAAAGAAAGAAAGCATGAGGATCAGACACTAGCAGCTCATTTTTACACATATTTCCCCTTTGGAAGACACATCGTTAACATTTGATTACAAACAGTTCATTTTGTTCATCATTATTCGTTTAGAATAACTGCCAGGCAGTGTGCTTTGCGTGGGGAGTCATAATGTGCTGTAACGGCTACAATCGTGTTCAATTTGCATAACTCCATAATACATAAGATCTCTTCTAAAACACAGACATGAGCGTTAACAGCACATATTCACTGTCATTTGGAGCGGCACATCAAATCCCAGATGTACTTCAGCAGGACCCTGGGCTGTAGTCAAATGAGACTGTGTTTCTAGGCCACACATCGGTACCTCCTCCATTTATTTTCCTTTCATGTTTCCTTCTGACTTTCCCTTCAGTCTTTTAGAAGCTCCCACAAGTCTCTCATGAGAGAGAAGTGGCCGACATCTTTAGAGCAAAAACAAAAGAGAGACGAGAATTTCCAAGAGTCTAGAATCAAGCGAATGCTTTGGTTTTTGCTAAAGCACACACCTTTGGCCACCCAGAATGCCTTGGCACCGTTCTTGAAACCCAAACATCACGGGAAGGAGTTTTGCATACCCAAGCAACACTCAAAAAATAAAAAAAATCTAGTTGAGATCATATTTATGTTCCACCTGCACTGTTAAAGGCCTTTCTCTGACTCATAATGCAGGAAATTAATCTTAATTTCACACAATTTCATGCAGGGCACATAAGCGCTCCCTATCAGAGGTCAGGCGAAAAAGGAAGTGATCAGACTTGAAAACGGACTCATTCAATTCTGGAGGACAGATTCACCCAACACACATTTAATTGGGACATTAATCACAGCTACCCAAGGAGGTTTTTAACATCTTCAGGGAAACTGATTTGCATTCACATTAGCAGGAGACAACTGAGGCTGTGAAGAATTAAAAACAAACTATTTCAACATTTCCATGGTGAAGCACCAAATGCATTTAGGATATCAAGGAAAGATAAATGAATGCCGTTTAACTGAAAAGAGTTTTATCTCAAGGTGTTCAAAGAGGTTTGTGTCTAATTGAGATCAGGAACCATGTTCTTCTTCCTTTGAACAGCCTGTTAATATGTTACAGAAGGAAGGAACGTTTTCAAATTGGATATCAGCATAACATCTTTGCTCGGCGATATAAAAAAAAAATCCAAAATATTCATAAAACAAAAGCAAAACTCAAAATATTAAAAACATGAATAACTGACATTCAGTGCAGACCTGAAGCAGAGTAGCTGTATTGACTACCAATAATTCAACTGTTTAAAAGTCAATAATTAAGCTATTACCATGATTAACACATAAATATGTGTTTATCTCAAAACATTTTCAGGATTGTGTCTAAACCTTGAGTAGAATGACTTGCGTACACCATTGTTATCCAAGCTGTTGCTAACCAGAATAAAGCATTAAACTGTGGTCTAATGAGAAATAATTGTATAACAATAAACAATTAATCAGCCTCTAATGATGCCAAGGCACTTGAAACACTCATTGACTGTCATTCTTTCACACTGATTACATGGAAATATTCAATATATATTTTCCTAACTGATGTGTGCACAAGACATGAAGGATGCAGTCTTGACACAGAGACAAGAGCTTAGTGTGTTTCTCTTTGAGCTTCAACACTTTAAGACGCAGTAGCATATAAATTACTGCAAATCATGTATATAAACACACACACACACACACACACTGTATATGTGTGTATATAAATGCTTTAATATAGCTTTTAATAGAAACTATTAAAGTTTGTGTCAAATATTAAAGTGTGCTTCTTCAGAGGAAAAATAAAGCATATGACATAATGGCTGTCATTTATATTTAGAGACACTTCCATTATTACCACATTCCAACAGCAGCGGCTGGAATAAGGCCATTTAGTTGATCCTTTCCATAAAAACTTTTCCCTTTTCTTTTTGCATTATTCAGGGGAAATATTCATTAAAAATAAAAGAACACAACATGGCCATAAAACTATGATGAGGCACTGACGTTTTCCCTGCTGTTAGTGAGCACAGTAATGAATGAGTTGATCACTCTCATGCTTTTGGGACGTGAAAACACACACATATACACACAAGGTCAGCGAGTTGGAAATAACAGTATGTGGCTCTTGTACACAGAGGGAATTGTTTTAACATGATTTACACGTTGGATTTTTTAAATCTAAATGAAAAAGCTGTTTAATTTTTAAACAAGGCAAATGTCACTGACATTGAAATAACTCATGAGTAACACATCAGTCTCCTAAATAAATCATTCTTCTAAATTGACCTGTAATTGTAGCTCATTTAGTCAGAGCTTTAGCAGAGCATTTCATATAGGCCTATTAAGAAGCTCCATCACTCTGAGTCAAATAAGATCTCACTATGTGCATAAAAAAATATCGTGTCAAAGGAAAAAGAATATGAAAAAGTCTCAAATATTCTAGCACCGTTCTTTAACTCGTTCTCGCAGTTGTGTGAGAAATGACAGAGTTGTCGACAGGAGTTGTGATGTTTTACAAGCGCCACAAACAAACCTTCTGTCTCCATGGAAACAACCTGCAGATGATGCTAATATCAGGTTAGAAACAGATCAGCGTTTCTATGAAAGTTCAAACTGTTGTGTGTCAAGACGAGTAGCTAGTGATTGCAGTAATAACAGCAACTGCTTTAATTTAGTTTAGTAGAACTGAAGCTACACTCACCATAAACTGCTAATTTAAGACTATAATGTGTTGATTGATTGATTGATTGATTGAATGAATGAATAGAGGTACACACTGGACAAGAAATGTTTGTAAAATTGTAACTGTAAACAGCTGATCACTTTATGAATTGACAGCCTGTCTGCTAATCTTCAATGTGTTAAAGCATTTAAATTTATTTTCCATATGTATTAATATGATAAATGATCACAAATGTTATTCACAAACAAGTCATAAATCTGATCAGTTCTGAATCATATTTATTTATTTATTAATCTGGGGTCTTGTAGATGTTCTGAACAGCTGGTAACTTAAAAATGTTAGAAGACAAAGTGAAAAAGTACATTTCAAACCCTGATTAACATATTTCCTGTTTGTCTTCCTTGTGCTTTTGTTAGTCTTTCAGTTTGTAGATTGCCTCATTTAGTTCCTCTTCTTGTTTCCCCTTGTTAATTGTTGATTGATTCCACCTGTGTCTTGTTAGTCTTATTACGCCAGTCTATATAAGACTTTGTCTTTTCATTTGTTACTTGTCTTTCTTTAGTGGTTTGTTGTGTTTGTGCTGTTCTGTTTTCTACATTTCCTAGTTCTCTGTCTTTTGGTTATCTGTATTTTTTAGTAGCCTATATACATCACTGTATTAGCCTATATGCAGTCAATTTAATTAGTTTTCATTATAAGTTGAATATGACTCTTTTTTTAATTAACCCCAAATCTTTGTAGAGCTCGGACTAGCGAATATTCTAATAACTCTTGTGCTTTAAAGATGGAAAAGCTATGCAATTAACCCAATTATTCTATTCATCAATTAACAATGCACTTAAAATATGATCTTTATTCTTAAACTAGGCTTCACTAACACCAGCTTTCTTCTCCTCAATTGATCCAGTAATTCATAATCATAATAAAGGCTGACTGAGCTTTGTGAGGCAATATTGATCTGTGAGTGACTCCCATGAGCACCAGGGGCATTTAATTAGGTAACATCACTCGAGTCATATGAACACTCTTCATCATCCCAGTAATTTACAGAGAAATTAGACATTTTACACATTGTGATTAATGATGATGCTGTTTTTAATATGCAGGTTGGCATTTTCGCTTCTCAAGTACGTAAGCGCCAATAACCACCTCCACAGATCTGAGCCTTGAGGTTGAACAAGACATCCTGTTAACATCCGCTCTTATTTATTAGGATTAGCTGTAAACAACAGCAGAGAGAAACAATATGTACAAACCTGACTGAAATCAAAACTCAGGAACAAAAGGATTTGCCTTTAGTCCTGTTAAGTTTTAATTATCCAGCTCTTCAGTAAACGAGGCCGAACCGAATAAACAGACTAAATTACCATGACGTACCACAACGCAGGGGAACAGGTTTCCATTCTCGGCCCAACGTGACAGCAATAAACACAAGTTTCCCTGCAGGTTTGTCGTCAGTTGACTGAATCTTCATTCTTAGGAAACATCTGTGGCCAAAAATACAATTCTCCATGACGAGAGCCGCACAGCACCGGCAGATGAGCCTGTCGCTGCAGTTTGATGAAGAACGGTGCTAATGCTAGCAGAGCATCTGGCAGCTTCCTCAGTTAGTTTGGAGGAAGAATAAAAATGACTGTCCTGTAAAACTAATGAATTTCACAATCTTTACAAACCGCATCTACGGTAAATACACAACATTCAATGTTTAAGAAAGTCCATCAGTGATACTCAAACGTTGTTTTGGCTGCCGACTGATTCTAGCTGCCAGCGATGGAAATTTCCTTCATTAACCCTTAAATGCATACCTCGGGTCTTTAACGACCCGGGACATCATTTTCTACCCTCTCCCTCCTTCATTTTTTAAAGTTAGACATCAACTTAAAATAAATTGGAACATTTAGTCAGTAAAAATTAAATATATATATATATATATTTAATTGCTTAATTTTGACCATAGTGAAGTTCATAGAGATGCATTGTTTCATTTTGAAATCCGGACTTGGTCTCAACAGGCTTTTATACTCCAAGAGTTTTCCCTCACTGGTAGGTGAACGAGCCCCTACATTTATTCATTCAGGAAAAAAAGAAATCAGTGAATACGTTTACTATTCAGTAAGGATGCATTCAATTTAAGAGTTTTACATTGTTACATTAAAAAAATTCTAATAAATGTTCTTCCGTTGAACTTTCTCTTCATTTGAACTTTCTATTCATCAACAAACTCATCAAAAAAGAAATGTATGATGGTTCCCTACCAAAAGTTTTATGCAGCAAAACCGTTTTCAACTGTAAGAAACATGTGGCATTAAATACTGAAATAATGGCTGCTGAAAAATTAGCTTTGCCATCACTTTTTAAGTATATTAAAATAGATCACAATTTAACCCTTAAATGCATACCTCAAGTCTTTAGCGACCCGGGACATCATTCTCTAGCCTCTCCCTCCTTCATTTTTTTAAGTTTGACATCAACTTTCTTAGTATTCCTCAATCTATTCATTATAAACAATATAACAAGAAAAAAATAGTAAAATATGAAAGAATGCCTGTTTTCTGATTAATGTTTTGTAAAAAAGTGTACAGGGTCGCTACCGACCCGAGGTATGTAAATGAAAAAGTATTTTTTCCTGCACGACTATATTTACATATCTGATGACTCAATTTGTGCAATGCATATTTTTTCCTCAAGGTGGCACTGTTTGCTACACAATGATGACGTGATGTTTCACTCATAATTACCGCAGGCATAAAACAAACGAATATCATCAGCAAAAATTGAAGTGGTTTGAATGGCTTTACTGCAGAGCAATTACTATACGCAATGAAATATAAATGTCACTGTCATTTGATGCTGGATGTGGTGAATAAGCTGCCAGTGATCAAAATATTGAATATGAAGTCATTGAAAACGATAGCTTTGAGAATATGGTTGAAATTGTGAATGTGAGACAGATGCTGAATGTACTGTGGAAGTGTGCTCTGACGATGACAGCGATGTTAAAATCATCTGCTCAAATTGAACCCTTTTAAGTCTCAAAAGGTAACGAAATATGCTTCATTTTATTCTTCTGTTCTTAAAATATCAAGAGAGTTTTTTGCTATTGCAGCAATTAAAGATCCATCCGTGCTGTATATATAGGTCCGGGTCGCTAAAGACCCGAATATGTAATAATGATTGGCGAAACATTCATGCATTTAAGGGTTAAGCAGAATGAGTTAGAGTTTTTGTATTAAACAGAGAGGACCTTAGGGAGAGCGGTGGTTCCTGAAGGGACTAATGGCAGCTTGGCAGCCTGTGGCACTATATAAACTCTCTCTACCTTTATCGTTCTGTCACTTCCTCCTCTTACATTAATAGACGTTCATGAGTTTCCAGCTACTGATGAAGCTCTGAAGGATCGACACAATGAGGCAGCAGTGGAAAGGCGGGAACACAGAGGTTTTCTCTCGCTTTCTTATTATCCACTATTGCAGTAACGGCTCAATAGTCTCAATGCAGGTCTCATCTTGATGAGCTAAAGGGTTTTCTTCAGTAACGCCTTCAGGCTAAAGGAGAAAAGAGAATTATATTGCAAGAACTGCATCTGTCAGTAATGAACGTCTTACTGAAGTTGACTGGATCGCACTGTTTTTTACTGTTTGTGATGGATGGCTTTTTCAAGATCCTTTTAGGCTGACCAAAAGAAAATCTGTGTTACCTTTGAGATTTAGGCACATTTACATCACCGTTGATTGGCTAATTCTCTCAGAGTGATTACCTAGGTCCACTTCAGAAAAGTAGCATATGGAGATTTCAAATACAGACTACATAACAGGATTTGATCATAGTAATTCTTCTGGCATCAGCAGATCAAACAGAATCTGAACACTATATCTGGTGACTGTATTTTAATTCGCTTGGCGAGCACTATGGAAGTATGCAGCTTCAGAGGATGTGAAACAAACACTTTATGTAGAAAACTAATAAGACAGTTTTGGAATCTCATCCAAAATAATGTCTCGGCTGACATGTGATCAGACCTGAGATGAATGTTAATACCAAGACTGAATAAGTGTTCAACTCTTGCAACACTTAGACTTCCATACAGATCTGTCAGTCATGATGAAATCATCTGAAATCCCAAAAAGATGAAGATCCATTTTCACTGCTCTCTGCTGCAACTTTAGGTATAAGTGCCTTGTCTGTTCTTTGACATTTATGAACACATCTTCAGTTTTTATAAAGCTCTTTTGGGGGAAATTAGGTTTTAGAAATTCAAGATTCATCCACTCAGTGTCATTCATAAATGTAACTTAAACAGGCATTTGGAAGTACTTTTTTTATGAAAATAAATCATTTAAATGCAGGTCCAGTTTTGTAAAAGTGGAAAAAATTAAACCTTTTAAAACCATAAAGGTTGTGTTTAATGGAATAACAAAATAAATTGGAACATTTAGTCAGTAAAAATTAAATATATATATATATATATTTAATTGCTTAATTTTGACCATAGTGAAGTTCATAGAGATGCATTTTTTCATTTTGAAATCCGGACTTGGTCTCAACAGGCTTTTATACTCCAAGAGTTTTTCCTCACTGGTAGGTGAACGAGCCCCTAAAATAATGTAACAGTTACTGTGACAATAAAAAGCAGCACACAAATAAAGCTGAATGAGACTGAATAGTCCAGTGTTGTAAAAGGACATTAACATTAAAGCACTCTCAAGAGCTGATTTAGTTCAATTTAATGAGGAAATCCAATTAAATTAGTACTTTTATCTGTATTTTTGTGTGTCGCTGGTTGACAGCAGTTGTTGACTTCATATATCAAGAACATGACAATAAATTTCCTGTTCAGATATAAGAATGTATTAAAAAAATACAGCCAATTCATACAGTGACTTGTATACCTATTCTATGATGAGCATGTTTTTATTTTCTTCTTATTAAAAATCATTCTGATATCTTTAGATGTCAAAAATGTCAGGTTGATAGCAACAATATAATAAAGGAAAAGCCTTGATGAATCATATTCTTGATGCATTCTTGTAACATTTTTCAGTTGTCAGGTAAATCAAATCCATGAAGTGCAACAGACATGCAAACGATATCATGAGGATTCTCATGATTATTCATCAAGGTCAATAAGTCTCTTAAAATATGGTATCAGATAATTTTGCATTTTTATAACAAGGCAAGAGTTCATGACTGACTGACTTATAATGTGGTGCGACGCCCCAAAAACAATGATATTTATGAATTAATAGTTCATGACATTTGTAAAAAACACTTGTTACCTTGAAAAATTCATTTCAAAACATTTTGAAAATAATTATTAAGATGTGTATGCCCATGTGTTTTCAAGGTGTAAGGAAAATGTGTATTTTTGTGTATGTGGTGGTTACACCACATGACACATTTAGAGTAAATTTGTGATGTCTAAACATTAATGAGAACAACACTCATGGTACCTGTTTTATTGGAGACCCAGATGATGGTCTCTGTTGATATGTGACTGGAGTTTCCCACTGCGAGCGTCAGCGGTATTTGCCACTGGAAGCTGAAATGAGACAAAGAGAGAAATAACAGCTGAAACGCTTCTATTTGATCTCAGGGTTTAAATGTCACTGCCGCAGATACATACTGTATGACGCGCATAATCTCACACATATGGACTCCCACGACTTAATGGGATTGTGGGATATATTTGTGCGATTTCCTCTCTGTCTCGGCACCAGCAGGCAAAGTGACAAAGTCAGAAATATCAGATGATTGTGAAGCTGAAAGAAAGCCCAGCAGTGTCAAAGCTGAAAGAAATCAGCTTTCATTCTTTCCCAGAGTGCTATCTCTCTTTCACACACACACAGCTGTGTATCACTCGTCACCCGATCGCTGTCATGTTCTGTGTCGCCACCTCATTTTGATGTCGATTCATCTGTGAGTGTGTGCTTTCATGTGTTAGTGTGTGAATGAACATCCCTAGGTATGAGTGCACATCCAGTAAAAGCCTGTCTGACAGCTGCCACAATGGATGGCCGCCCCTCTTTCAGCTGTCAGAATGGCTGACACACCGGTGGACGTGGTCTGCTGTCTGCCAGCGTAAATGACCCCAGACGACAAGAGCACAGCAGAGCCGACCAACAGCAATAAATACTGTAACATTAACAGATCTAATGCAAGACAGAATCATTTGAACAAGCTCCAAACAACATATCGTAACTTTACTTTAACAATTTCCCCCCTTCCTCAACAAAGCTATTTCACTGACTGAGAAAAGTTTTTATAGGTAGGGAAAAACAGTGATAAAGGCGCACCAGGGTAAGAATATGGATATATCGTAACTTTACTTTAACAATTTCCCCCCTTCCTCAACAAAGCTATTTCATTGACTGAGAAAAGTTTTTATAGGTAGGGAAAAACAGTGATAAAGGCGCACCAGGGTAAGAATATGTACGTATATAAACACATAACAATGTATTTATTGAATAAAAGTAAACTGAAGTATTTTATGTATCAAAATAAACATAATATGGAACCATATTTGTTGAAGTGATTGTAATAAACAAGTATTAACTTTGATATTATGCAAAACATATTACTTTAGTTAAAGTATTTGTATCAGTAATACTGGGGGCCTTTTGTCCCATGCTGGTGAGACTTTTACCCCAAACAAAACAAACTACTTTATGATTTCTTTTCCCATGAAATGTATCATTAAAAAAAAATCTGCAATCAATCACTATGGCTGCAGTGAAAAGCACATTTCCCTTAAGGTGTGCTATTAGCCCCATTTTACTCTCTTCAGTGCCTGATAAGAAATTATAGAATAACACATAATGGTGTTTTCATTCTTAATCATGAAAATATGTTAATGGATATCTTTTAAATGACATATCGCATCATATTGACAAAGCTAAAATGTTTAAAACAATATTTTTTTTATGTTTTCAGTTTGCCTTTGGTTAGCAAGTTAACAGTTTAGCTACTCTCTTGGCTTACCACTAAATGCCTTTGGTTAGCAACCTTGCTTACTTAGCATACTGCTAACTGCTAAAGTAAGCGTTGTTCATTAGCTAGAACAAGACGTTGTGATAAGCAATGTTTTATCTTAAGGCAACATGCTAAAAAATACCCAGAACACCTTAGCAAACACATAACAGCACCCTGTCAACCGTCACAGCAGACTAGCATCGTAGCAGTGAACTTTACACAGGCACGCACCACATTTTCTTCATAAAATGTCAAACTTTAGTCATCTAATATGAGAAGAGCAGCCTGGATTATTTGGTGACATCAGTCTCGGCTGTGGGGAATGGATTGGATCATTAGGGATTTGTGTCAGTTGGAAAACTGACAGCAATGGACGAAATCCTTTCAGGCTGCTGGTGACTCACCTCAAATCATTCATAAGATGATTTGCATTATTTAATGTGTCTTAATTATGCCTGAATAAGCCGAAATGAGGATTCTGTGTAAAGTGACTGAAACTAGATAATAAAACAATGATAGCAACTTTTAATTTCAGCAGAAACAGCTGTAAACAGCAGACTGAAAGTTTACAGTATATCACAGAGGAAACTATAGCACAGTCAGGAAGATATTATGCATAAGATGAAGCAATATGATCCTGCTGGGAAACAGTATTTAAACGCGTATGTAGAGAGGCACTATAGAGAGAGATTCTGTGCTAGACGAGCGCTGATAACAATACTTATGAATTCCAGTGATAATAGAAGCATCTGTGTGTGTTCAGATGAAACCACACACTGATACATTTACATAAAACTCTGTTCATCAGTGGGATTGAACAAGAGAAGATAGCAAAAGAAAATTAAAGTTCTCCACAGGCTGGTAATTTGGTGGCTCATGTTTATGTTCATTTATGGAAGCGTCTGTTATCATAATCATTATTTACATCCCTCAGGAACTGGAACTTTGTGTTATGGCCCAGAGCTTTAGCTAAAACACGAATCAAAATTTCAGTTTCTGCAGCAGACGGGTACAGTCATTTGTATTTGTATTTGTATTACAAATACATTCATTCTCATTATGTTTATGGAAAGAAGCAATGTTTGTTAGCTGAGGGTCAGTTGCTCTTAATGGACAATAATATATGGTAACACTTTCGATTAGGGAACACTCTTTAGTACTTTAGTACAACAACTACCTTACTTATTATCAATAAGCAGCAAACTAGGAATTTATGTGTAAGAATATGTGTTCCCTAATCCAAAGAGTTACCGGAAATATAAATAAATAACAAGAGGTAGTGTGTTATAGTGATTTTACCATGAAATAGAGACCCTTATAATTTGGCAGAAAAATAATTACAAAAGGAACCAATTTTCAATAAATAAACCTGTACATAAAGACAAAGAAAGAAAGAAATATGGTTGCTAGGGTGTTCCTTGGATGTTCTAAGTTGTTGAAAGTATTTATTTATTTATTTATTTAGAATAAAAAAGAGAGATCAAAAATTCATGCAATTAGTAATTTGCAAAACACTGTGTCATCACTGTAAAAGAGTAACAGCTGTAGTCTGGATGTGTCTACATTTAAAATTCACTGTGATTAACCAGCATCCTCTCTCTGTTTTCTTCATTGGTTGTGAGGTCTCAGTCTCACTGTCTCTCAGTGCGGGTGTGATAATATCTCAGGCTCTCTTTAGGGACGGCTGGCTTTTGCGGTCTATAATGAGTCACTGGGGGCTTTTGTGGCTCAACATGTGCGATAGATCCTCACAACACTTTTATCCAACACCAGCTGCACAGAAGAGAGGAAAAAACACAAGTGTCTTCATTTGAAACCTTCCATGGATTCACATATGCTGGAGTTTGTGTTGAACTTGAGCTATTGTATTTATTTCCAGTATGTTGTGTAGACTTGCTTTAGACTTTGTCAATCATCCAGCAATGGTTTGAAACCACTGAGACCATGAAGAATGGAAAAAAGAAGATGAAGATGTTCTGCTGGTCCTGGATGGGCTAGAGAAGAAATACTGAACATCTGCTAAACAAAGAGGTTGGTGGTGGATTTCTGGAACAAAATTGTGAAAGAACATTTTTTTGCTGAACACTTAGTGCCAAATCAAGGCTTTTAAATATTAAAAGCAGCCTTTAAAATCATCCATCAGCTAACACGCAAATTGGAAAAGCACACATTCTACATGTCCAAGACTTCATAGAGGATTTTTTCAATGACTGACATCAACATACAGTGACACAGTAATGTATAGACACAAAATCAGAGACTTGTGAAAATCATTCCTTACTTTAATTATTGCTGCTGCACTTGTTGAAGTGTTTATTCTTAATATGAAAGACAGTCTAGATCTACAGTCTTTCTACTTTATTCATGTGCCCAGTGGCGTTCAAACTTATGCATGTTCACAGTTAATTTTTCATTGCATTTCAGATGTGTGTGTTTTGCACTGTTAACTGTCAAGACACATTCCAGTGATGTCACATGAATGCATTACTGCACCGCATAATGTTTCCAAATCTAAACCGTTTAAGCATACTGTGAGTGTATATATACTACTGTATATCTGTTTTGTGTGCTCTGTATTATTGCAGTCATACCAAATTTATCTCCAAGGATCATAGAAATATCTGCCTTTAGCAATGAGATATTCTTCACTGTAACAATAGTGCTTGATAATTTTGGTTTGTTTGTTTGTTTTGTTTTTCTAGGTTCTTGATAATATTCTTTCATGTAACTTTTTTCAGTCACAAGTTAGCTTGACAGTTACACACCAGCCTCAAGCAGACCTACACATACCTGCAAAATAAGACTCTATAAGGCTCAGATTTGAATTACTCTGCCTGTTTGCCTCCTTGTCCCGAGTGTGACACAAGCAGCCTGCAATGCGAAAATTAATTTGTGCCTTCAAGCGCTAATAAGTTGTTTATATTCTCTACAACATCACCTCAGCATAAAACCTGTGCTGTGAAAATCCAAATAGTAAGGTAATATACGAGTGCAAAAGTGTTGATGAAGAAACGGTTCAGCTTCAGACTTTTTACACTGGTGAAAATAAGCACAGGATCTGCAAAACAGTACAGGATGATTTCAGATGAGGTGTGTTGAAGTACAAATTTTCACACTTATAGCCACTTTCTAATGAAGTTTTGCATCTTGCTAACTTAATACTGAGGTTTTATAATGGAGAGGAGAACTGTGACCCTGAACAAATCTAAGTTTATTAAGCTAACTGCTAATATGCTAACAAGCTGATGTTACTAGCTGAAGCTCTGAGCTTTTGTGACAATTTCAAAGATATATTAAGAATTAAATACAAAATACAAGATCTAAGGACCAGTTAAACCAGCAAAAGGACCAGCATAAACCAGCAAAGGACAAGCTTAAAGCAGCAAAGGACCAGTTTAAACCAGCAAAGGACCAGCATAAACCAGCAAAAGGACCAGCATAAACCAGCAAAGGACCATCTTAAACCAGCATCCCAGTGTCAAAACCTACCTAACCAGCATATGCTGTTTTTTTCAACAGGGTAACCATGGTATTTGTAGTAAACCTGTGGTTATAATGGTAATCAATACGCCAAAAAAAACATGGTTACTACAGTTTTACTACAATAAAACCATGGTTTATTTTCGTAAGGGCTATACAATACCCTAACTTTGTAAAAATAGGATAAAAACATTTAATGATAGCATTCTAGGCTGTACAGTTATGTGCACTACCATAACATGTTTTTCATTCTTTTTACAAACTGAAGGGCGAGTCAAAATTAATTACTCTGGTAATAATTAATAGATGATATCAGTACAGCTGAAGTTGGAAATAATTATTTAATGCACATTTGAAAGAGGAATTGAATTAACATAGCCTATGAAATGTGTGGCTCTTTGCTAGCTGGATTATGAATCTGCTTTAACAGAATATCAAAGTGTAGCAAAAAGCCAGCATGTGTTTTGAGTACAATGGTGTGAAATAAATGTCCTTTTCTGTGGATTTCTGTGGAGTTTGGACGTCAGTCGGACTGTGGACCCTCTATGAACTTTAATGAGATGCCAGTGGACATGAAACACACTGAAGGGGTGTGAAATACAATAAACTGACCTTCTCTGTTTTCCTTTTGTTGCTGCCAATGTTTCTGTCAGCACATTTTACTAGGCTGGCTTAAAGTCTCAAGTGAGGTGTTACACTGCATTTACAAAGGTGCCAAATCCCCTGCATTCTGGCAGGTTGTCTGGTACTCAGTTGAAAACCCGCCTGAGGGGCAAAGCAGGAAAGAGACACCCCCTACTCGCAAAACGGCTTTGCTATTGATTCCTGAAGCAGTTCTGCTTCTGAACACCTCTGCAGAAGACCGTCACACTCAGAAAACACGTTCATGTAGGAGGAGACGTTCAAAGGAAGGTGGCTGTGTTTGCTCTGAACAAATGAACTCCGGAAAGAAGTAAACATACAGATTTCTACCTGTATGTTTCATATTTATGACACCAGATGGCTTGATGTGGAGAGTTAGCCTAGCCGCGTAAAAGCAAGGACCCATTGATTATTTGCAGATGATAAATCAGATGATTTCATGATGACAGAAAGGATGCTTTAGTCTCACTAGTTTTATTATTCTCTCCTATTTCTAAGTAATAGATTGCATTTTAACCACTTTTAGTCAAGAAATATTGCAAACAGACTACATGCTACGAGCTCAGGAGCTCATGTTCTCAAATTGCAGGTGTTTAGCACTGATATTGTTCTCAACTTAAGAAAGTCTGTCACTATCTAAATGGGAATACTGCCTAACAACACACTCCACACACTCAAACTGTCAGTACAGCATTAAAATTCAATTCTTGATTCAATTCTTGTGCTGCTAACAGTGTCTGATCCAAAACAAAAGGAGGATTTCTAAAACGGATCAGAGGCAGTATTGAATTATTCATCTCACTCTAACAAAGAATTAAACTAATCTATCTGCCAGTGACACATGCAGTTTTCCGTGACGACGCAGGCGAGTGCCAAACAGCATGTGGCAGTGACGGGTTAGCATGGGTCGCTAATAATAAATTAAATGCTCAGTTAATAGCAGCTTAATAGCCAGTGAAAACCAGCAAACTATTTTAGGCTGGTTAAAGATGTTTTTTTTTCTTAGCAGGAGCAATAAAGGCAGGCATCTAAAGGTATGCTAAGCAGTAAACTGTTCACATCCCTCGGATAAGTGAGGAAATCCTTTGGGTCTTCATGCTGTTGTGGGGTGCTAGGCTAGTCTTTAGCTGTCTAGCTGTGTTTATAATCTCCAGATGGTCTATTCTTCTGTATTTCTTCCAAAATAACTTAATATTTAATCTCATTTTTAATCAAAATAGTTTCTTCGTCTCATCAGCTGCAGAACTACTAGGATCTTTTTTTCAGTCTGAGCTTGATCTGATCACAGGAAACTATCAGTGACTTCTGGGAGGAGAATCACTGACTGTGGGCTTTTTGCATTATTCAGCATTGCAGTGTTTGGCAAACGTACAGGCGTCTGCTCCATATATTATTGTGGATTTTCTGCAACGATGTATGAGTTCATGGAGAATCAATGTCAAGTGGTCAGTTGACTGATGGTGTTTCATTTTCATGTAACAACCTGTCACGATTGACATATGGCAGACTACCTTTTGTTGAACAGCTCAGGATTCTGGATCTTGGCGTCGGTGTCATAGACGAAGTGCTCTTGTGAGATGGTGACACTGTTGTCAAGACTGTCGTTCTTGCTGATGGTGACGACAGGGTAACCCATCTGCAGTGTCCAGCGGTCCATGACCTGCGTGATGTTGATGTCCTTTCCCTCCCGCTGCATGGCCTGTGACACAAAATATATAGATCAAAATACATCATACATATACAGATCACCATGTTGGGTGTCTAACAGCAATAGAAGGTGCAAAGAAAACATATTGTGTCAGATAGTGTCAGGTGAGTGAAAATGAATTCAGATTTGATGTCTTTAATTGCAGATACACGACTCTAAACTGATTCAACTTTTCTTTGTCTTTCAAAACTATAATGGATGTAAATAAAAACTCCTCCAGGTCTTTTAATTAAAAACTCTTAGTGAATAGAAAGGTGATTAAACTTCACCGTTCTCTTAAACCACATACGAAGAAACATCACAAGGCAATTTCCAGTTATCTAATCTCTCTATACAAGAGCAACGCTTGTAAAAGAGCAGAGCTAGGTTTATAAGTTCTTCAGAGGAAGCTGCTCCTCCTATTTTAAAGAAGTAAAAGATAAAATTGGATCTCATGGCTCATTAATGAGGAAAGCTCCCTGTTTTGTCCATGAGGGAAATATACTGCCTACACAGTTCCTCCTTATTCTTTGAAAATGCTATATACATGGCTCAGCACGGTGGACAACTGGCAGTTTTCTGTATGAATTGTTTTCAAAAGCTGTATGTATGAGGAACATTTTAAAGCTTTATGGAGTTTCATCTTCTTTTCACCTTGAGCTGCTGTATCCATTTAAAAAGAAAGGTACAGTAGGTGACTGCAAAACATTGGAACTGCCTCATCGCCTATTCAAGCACTGCCAATGCAAAGTCAGTATTTTGAGGTTTCATTTAAGTTCAGATGCAGCTGTCTGTGACTGTAGTATACAGTGAGGCTGCTTGCTAGCTTTTGGATCAGAGTGGATGTCAGTGGCTCCACAGTTATTGTCCATCATTTCCATACATCGGATCTTAAAGAGCTGCAGAGGCCACTCGATATTTTTGTATGAAATTGGTTGTAAACCGTGGAGATTTACAATGTTTCTGCAGCAGCACAAAGTCAGTGTGGATTGGAAGGGGAATGTGGTGGTAGAAACAAAAGTGCTCTGTCAGGCTGTCTTGAATTCTGCAAACATCAACTTGACTAGATCATTCGAGCACGTGCAACTCCCCTTCTCCAGTGTAACTGGGAAACTCTTGCTTATAACAGATGATTCTGACCATTATGAGTATTATAATCTGAGACTAACCAAGCTTGCATGAGATGACTCGGCTATTATGGAAAACGCCGAATGAGACCAGACGACTTCTCACAGCTGTCAATGACTCATGGTTTGTTTACCGTGTGAATACAGAAGAGGCTCTGCAGAGGCTGATGACGGCAGCTGATGTTCCTACATTATGAATCATTTTCTTTAGGACAGCTTTCAGGAAACTAATGTACCTTTGCCCTGGCGGATATAATTAAAGGAAGTGAAGGCCGGTCCGGCGATGGGTCGTGAGTTTGACAAAGGGCTTTGTGGGCTCTAAGCACTGCCAGATTATTGCAGCAAATTGGATTTCATGAATAGCTAATGAACACTGCGCATATTAGTATTCATTAGATGATGGGCTGTCATGGACTGTTAATGTAGCTAAATTCGTCAGTGCCTGACAAACACGGCCACTGAGAGGATACGGAGGTCCAGGTCTGGCCCTTTCACATAAATTCACCTTTAAATCCGTTCTGTTTTGAAAGAGAAAATGAAGAAGCGGCTCCCATCAGCCGGCATTTGGGAGAGTGATGTGAATGACAAACGCTTCATACGACGCTGATAGCTGCTAAATGTCCGGCTGTTCCATTACAAACTATAATAACTTTGAGATTACACTTGAAAGTAATCTCATTAAAGTCATGACACTTTGTGAGATGAGCGAGAGGGGACTTGTTGAGAGTCCTCTGGTTTTAAAAGCACATCTCTGTGCTTTGAGCTGATGACTTGAACCCAATGCTTAACTTCACTGTGATCATAGCTGTTGTCTACGACCGTTTACTTCACAGGTGCTAGCAGTTCTTCTCACTCTTACTTTTAGTTTCTTAAGCTGTCTGTATTATTTACAGCTGCACTGCACAGGTGAGCTAGCATATTAGCATAATGTAGCACCACACATCCAGCCTAAATTTATATCGTCATCTGACCAATTTCATCTTAAGCTGCATTTCATCAGTTAGATATGTGGGATATCCTTACTTGATACCTCCATCCATGAAGGGTGTTCGGTTGATGCTGAAAAAATGTCTTATAATGAAACAACAGAACAATCCTAGCATTTGTTTTCAATATGTGTGCAATTATAAAAATAATTGTTTTATTAAACAGGTTTTATTATCATTTAATGTAGGAACTTTGCATTAGCATTGCAGCATTTGTTGTTCTGGTAACTGAACAGAAGGAATTATGGGAAATTAAGTCCGCCACGAACAATACAGTTGCTAAACCCTCTGTGGTACTACAAAATACAGAGAAACTGAAACAGCAGATCACAGGAAAAATACCTGAGTGTTTCTGTCAGGAGGGGGGCACCCGTGCCAAACCTAATAAGAACTGTATTTTTGAGGCCCGAGTGAAGCATCTAAATAGGTCAACTTTCCTTCAGCAGAAGATTTTTCTTGGGTTATTCTTCGCTACACCTCAGCCGAAGGGCAGATGCTCGTGTTTAATCTGAGAGACTCATCAGGCTTGTCAGCAATTATGTGACACTTCACTAATCGGGTCTGATAAGATTCAACTAATGTATAAGTTAATTAAAATCACCATAATCAGCAGCAGCAAGCCTTTATTATCAGTATCTGTGAACATTTGCATTTAGCAGGTTTCAGTGATCAGATTTCTGGATCAATATTTGACCTGCGTTTGCAGAAATCGTTTCCATTCTAAGTGAAAGCTCAAGTGTAAAAGCGAGACTATCAAACACAACCCAGCCTCCATATCAAACTCTTTCC